GCCAAAACCTCCCAGCCGGATGGATAGCTGCACCTGTGCGGGGACCGAGTCGGGGAAGTCGCCGGGAAAGCGGAACATGCGCCTGAATGCCGTGATAATGGCGGCGTCATGTCGCTCGGCGGCTGCCAGGGAGACATCGGATTCTGGGGAAGGAGGCGCAGCCAATAGTTCAGCCGGGGGGATGCACAATAGCGGAGAAGAAGGCCTGAGCCCTGTGAGCAAAAGTCACAATTGCGTCGAGCAGCGGCTGGTGGCTTCTGGTGATCTTCTCGAGGCTATGCTGGATGAAAGAGTTGCCGCCAAGCGGGCAGCCGAGGACAGTGATGCCTTCAGTGGAGCACTTGACGCCGGAAGCAGCGATGTCCGCCGGGATGTCGGAGTCTTGTTGCCAGCGGGGGCTCCATGCAACACTCTTGTCTCTCCGCAGCCTCAACTTCTTCTCAGCCAGAAGCTGTTCGGCTCTGTCCACATACCCCGTAACACGTGTCTCATCCAGTCCACCATCGATGTCATCCATGAACGCACTAACCAAGTCGTCGGGGAACTCCTCTTGCAGCTTGACGAGGGCGGGGTGGAGGCCCAGGCAGAAGAGGAAGGGCCCGCCGCGTCGCCTTGCTGGGTGCCCTCCTGACTGAGGATTGTCTCCGTGCGTCCGTCCTCCATGCGATACCATGGTTCAGCCGGGGTCCCGTAGAACTGCCAGAAGAAATCGACAAGGGACGGCCACTTTGTGCCGAGCTCGTCGAGGATCGCCTGACGGTCGATGCTGTTAAAGGCGTTCTTGCAATCCAAAGTCACCAGAACCCGTCTATCGGAATCATCGCGGCGTCTCCATGTAGGTCTGACAGGCCCGGAAAATCTTCTTTCCGCCTGCCGACGTACCGACCGCAAACTGTAGGGGTGAGAAGTCCTCCTCAAAGGCAAGCTTGTTCTCCATACAAACTGCCTTCGTCACCCATCTCTGAAGCACATCACCCACAGCAATCGGCCGGACACCACCGTTGTCTTTCATCAGAGCGAAAAGGCGGGCGGCCGAAAGAGTTGTGGTGCAGCTGTCCGGCATGTTACCAGCGAGCATCCGGCTGACAAGGGAGGGCAGGGGGACGGTCTCGTCTTCTGCCGAGGCGTCACCCTCTCCCATGCAGGCACGAAGATGCTCATACCGCCATCCCGTGGGGCCGGCTGCGGAACCTCGCGGCGCCGTTTTGAGGGCAGCCAGTAGAACTCTGGGTGGGACCGTAAGAGGCAGGGGCGGTCCATTCGGGCCGTTCTGGGGCTGCGGCTTTGTGGGGAGCGGAGCTGCAGGGTGTAGGTCCTTGAGCTGCTGGAGTGTCGCCGCCGTCGCTGGAGCGACCTTGGCGGCCGTCAGCCGTCGTGCCGCACGTGACAGCTCCCCCTGTTTCACAAACCTCTCTGTCGCTCGCAGCTTGATCTCCTCTAGGGATGGCTCGGGCACGCCTTCCACTGGTCCGTCGCCACGTGGAGCGAAAACGTGGCGACCCTGCTCAGCAAAATTTCTGGACTCGTCGAGTAATCCTTGCCATTCTCCAGCCCAAAAACGCTTGAAGCG